GTTTTTGATTCAGTAAATGTAGCAATATCTCAGCAAATAGAAAAGATAGGAGGTTCTTATTTTATATTCTAGCTTGTCAATATTGGTCATTTGAGTTCCTAATTCATAAGAAACTATAGATTTTGTATTTGGACATCACAAACAACTAATTTGAACCAATGCTGCATTCAACATACCCAAGTGACAGACAAAAATTTATATTTAGGATTTTTTTTATATTTACTTTTAAGTTAAGAAATTAACTAATGTTTAATACTGAAATTTGAATTATAATCTACAATTTGATATCAAATTTATTCACATACATTCATAAAATAGTAGTTCAACAAAATTTTGAATGCGAGTCTACAAATGCGATGACATGGCTTTTTGACCCGTGACCCCAGGATGAACTATAGAGTTATGGTTCATAAAAAGTTTGTTTTCTAATGATCTGCAATGTTTTCAGTTTACCACAATAGGGTGCTATTGTATGTAGTTATAGGAGTATCAGACTTACCATCAAGTAAGTGTAGATGAAAAAAACATGATTACTGTTTTATGTAGAATAATTTTAAGCTAACTCTGAATATTTAATTTATATGGATTAACTGTAAAATAAAAGGGGTCAAATGTAAACATGTCATCAGTAAGTTATGCAAATTAGCACTATTTAGGGCTTAATCTTCCAGTTAGTAATGTGTTCTGAACCTCCAAAGGTCAAAATTTACCCTTCATTACAGTCACACTTTTTTGATCAAATAGCAACATTATCCCTCCTAAATGAAATGGAATATTTAAATTTTTAATATTTAAACTGACTTAAACAAAAATATATTTATTAATTTCTAAAGGTACACTTTTAAAAATTAAATTTCTTTATCATAACAAGGTCCACACCACGAATTTCTTAGAATTAAACTATATTAATTCTCAAAAACTTATCTAGGTTAATAATAAATCTCACCTGGTGTTACTGGGAGAAAAAATATTTCACAACCATAATACAGGGTTGGGAATAGAGTCCCCTTCTCCAGATAAAGATACTAACTCTTATTCATGTGCTTTTATATAAGATATTTAATGTTAGACATGCTTTGCTAACATTGGAAATTTAACATATTGAAGTGATTCACTAATCGTGCAAGTACATTTTATCTGGGAAGAAATGTATGGTATTTATGGTTTTAGTTTTCTGAGAAGTTTCCTATGGCTCACCCAGCATAACTTCAACATTAAAATCTAAGTTGTATTTTGCTGAAAAAGAGTAATAGTGTGGGTGTATAAGCAGAAATTACATTCCAACCTTTTTACAGTTCCATGAAAAATAACTATATTACACTTAACATTAGTAGGGTAATAAAGGAAATGAAGTGCTTATCCCTTAAACCTTTTAATCACCCCCCCCCTTTTTTTTTCAGATAATTTGTGTCAGTGTAAAATATGTTGTATAGAAATTTCACCATAAAATTATACAGATACTTATATTTTTGATATCTTTACTTTGGCACATATAAGATCTATGCACTGTATTTAGGGTATTTCACTAAGTACAAAGTACTTAACAAAACTACTTGAAGGATGGTGTAATGTAAAACATTTTATGTATCAAAGTTATGATGTTAAAAATGAAGTAAATTTTAGTTGAGGATTTTAAACTGTCTTGTGACTGAGAATTATACTCAAGGTTTTAACATTCACAAGTATTAATAAATAAACTTAGTATTCCAAAAATTGTTTAATTTCGACGTTTAAGTTCAAGTAGTGAATACAAAGCATGTTCACACCAACAGTATGTTTGGTTCACTAGCATTCTGAGTTTGTGTGTAATTCCTATTCCGGGTTTCAAGGTTGCCCTCTACCTTAGACTGATAAAACCTGCCTAATGACAATAAAACCAACAACTTAACATCATCTATTATTACATATGAACAACACAATTTGGTTGTTAACAAGCCAAAAATAGACAATGCAGGTCAGTTACTGAGTCAAGCATGAAACATATGAATGGTTTCATCTTATCATCAGGAGTGGGATGGCCAGTAATTGGTTGATAACATATGCATCAGAATAATAAGCTTAGATAAGACTGAAACACGAAACACTTCATTTACAGCATCATACCAGGGACCACTAATTTAAGGCCTGAAAATGATGTGTTTTCAGTGTAACAAATTTGTTATGTATTTATTTTAATATGAATGTTGTTTAGATTAACTTTGTATTTAAAAACGTGCCTAGCTTACAGTGTTAGATACGAATTGCGAAACTTCCGCCAATTTTCCAAAGTTGTAGATTTTATTATTTCAGAACATATATTATTACAAGTCTCCAGAAATAGTAATGTATATTATATAGCTTAATTTCTTACAAACTTTATTGTTTCAGAATATATATTGTTACAAGTCTCCAGAAATTGTAATGTATATTATATAGCTTAATTTCTTACAAATTTTATACTTTCAGAACATATATTATTACAAGTCTCCAGAAATAGTAATGTATATTATATAGTATATTATTACAAGTCTCCAGAAATAGTAATGTATATTATATAATATATTATTACAAGTGTCCAGAAATAGTAATGTATATTATATGATATATTATTACAAGTCTCCAGAAATAGTAATGTATATTATATAATATATTATTACAAGTCTCCAGAAATAGTAATGTATATTATATAGTTTAATTTCTTACAAACTTTATTGTTTCTTACATACTTTATTGTTTCAGAACATATATTATTACAAGTCTCCAGAAGTAGTAATGTATATTATGTAATATATTATTACAAGTCTCCAGAAACAGTAATGTATATTATATAGCTTAATTTCTTACAAATTTTTTGCAGTTTTAGGAACACTTCCCTATTATATTATGGTAAGTTTTAATTTTCAAATTGGGAAATAAATCATAATTATTCTTCATTAATGTTCTTATTCACATAGGAAGAAATGAGTGACTCCCATGAACCAGGAAGTTGGTTTAATGCTGACGGCTATCCAGTTTTAGAACTGAGGGAGTTCGTCTATGAAGTCACTCTGAATCCAGGAAAGTACGATTCTCTGGTTCTAGGTTTGGTTGAAACTCTTCAATCATCTATTGCAGATGAAGAGACAATGCGTGCTGTTGCTAACACCATATTTGATCAAGTAAGTCTGTATTTTCTCTAATACCAGATCGAGATTTGGCTTTATAAAATTATTATAATAATGTAAACTTTTTAAATATTTAAAATATTCAAATGCTATGAATGGAAACAAAGAGTAACATTTATACTACAATCTTAATATAAAAAACATTGACCACAGTCCTGAGTGTATATATGGATGAAAATTGTAACTTGGGTAGAATGGACATAATCATTCCTATGAGAGTGTTTTAAGTACTCACGAAACACCAGTTATTCCAAATAATGAACTTCGTTAATCTGTGAGAGTGATTATCATCGTTAACAAATACTGTTAACTAAGCAACTAATTTTTCAGTACTTGCTGAATAAGATTGTAACACTTTTTGTGACAGAGTTCTTCAATATCCTTGAAACTTTTCTGTATACTAGGAATTAAAAATGTTAATTTAATTTGTATTTAATTACAATATTCTATTAATTATTCATGTTTGAATGCTAATTGTGTAATCCCTACAATAATTTTGACCAGAAAATGTGTGATAGAAGTGATTAAACAGTTTTAAAGTTTTCACCGTTTATTATTTTTCAACTACTTCTACCAGAAAATGTTGTGTGATAGAAGTGATTAAACATTTTTAAAGTTTTCACTGTTTATTATTTTTCAAATACTTCTACCAGAAAATGCTGTGTGATAGAAGTGATTAAACAGTTTTAAAGTTTTCACCGTTTATTATTTTTCAACTACTTCTACCAGAAAATGCTGTGTGATAGAAGTGATTAAACAGTTTTAAAGTTTTCACTGTTTATTATTTTTCAACTTCTGTTTTCATCAGATTTTGTTTTAATTTATTTTCATAGGCAATCACAGAGCCAAACTTTAGGTATAATGCTGCGAGACTGTGTAATCACCTGACTCAGAGCCTAAATTTCTTTTTTGGAAGTTTCAGATATTTTCTTCTGCAGAGGTATTAAATGTTTAGAAATTAAGATTAGACTAGTGATTGAAATTTGTGACTGTATGTCAATACGACATTATAGACTTATCGGAATATACAAGGAAGGGACAATACTTACTTTTTGGTGGGTTCCAAAGAAAATATTATTTCAAAGTCACTTTATAATTTAAATAATATTCTAAATCAAACAACTGCCTAGTCACTTTTCCCCTATCCTCTATATACTTATTCTAATATAGATAGATATTTCTATATCTTCAACACACATTTGTTTGAACATTTACTATATTTTCTGGTGCATACGACAATCCTGGATTTATTTGAGCAGATTAAGTGTATTTCTTTGAGGTTTGGTCTATAGGGCGACCTCTATTGTCAAGCAAGTCTAGGATGGTTCCAATTTAGTCTTCCAGTGGTTCAATGGTATGTTTCAAGGCTTATAACACTAAAATTTACAGTTTGATCCCAGTGAGTGAGACAACAACCTTGCATTAAAATTTAACAAAGTTCAATGATTCATTCTTTTCTGTAAACTGTCCAGAGTATGACATATAATTTTTCAAACCGTTTGAGATATGTCTGAAAGTAGAATACTTTGGATTCTGTTGGATTCTGTACATTCAGATTTTGATGTATCTGTGTGTGTGTGTGTTTGTGCGGAGATCTTGTGGTGCATCATTACCTGTCACAAAATAGGAATATTTTTTCTTTTACTGGAAAACTTACTGAAACTTTTTATTCCAGAATCACTGAAGGGTCACTTTGACATTTGATGCAGTCCTACAAATTTTTAATTGACACTTATTCATGTGATGGCAGAGAAGCCATTCGCTTGAATTTTACTTGTTCTATCATTTTGAGGCAAGCTAGTTAAGCTACACTTCTTTGCAGGCATTATGTGCTAGATTGATTAACCCTGGTCTATTTGAAAATTTTTTACACAATCTGACAAACAAACTCAAGTAGAAGTAACTTTATTCATTAAAACTACACGTAAAGTTATAGTATTTATAATAGTGTACAGAGTATGAAACAATTATAAGCATTTGGTGTACGACACGGTTTTTTCAAAGAAGAATACCACCTGACAAACCTTCAACACTGTCAAACAATTTATATTAACAGGATAGAGACCGTGCTTGAATACCACCTCACAAACCTTCAACACTGTCAAACAGTTTATATTAGCAGGAGAGAGACCATGCTTGAATACCACCTGACAAACCTTCAACACTGTCAAACAATTTATATTAACAGGAGAAAGACCATGCTTGAATACCACCTATCAAACCTTCAAATACAGCCCTACTTAGACCCAGTGTATCTGTATGCAGTATGTGCTCACCAACATATTCATGCAGGATTTGAAACTAATTTTCCCTACCATTGGCCAGCAGGGCTAGAAGCTGGAAAAATCCACCAGTCCAAAAGAAATTTTGCTGACTCAGTGTTATAATCAGTGACTGTTCACTAAGTTGTGTTGCAACCTATGTTGAAACATTAAAGCAATATCTCCACATGTAGTTATTAGACCGACAGGGTTTACTTTAGAAAAAACAAGATGTGCTCACTAGGTAACTTATTCTGTAAACCAGCCACGACCCACAAAACGTTTGTGGTAGTTTTCATGCACAAACCTGAAACACTGTCAAACAGTTTATATTAACAGGAGAGAGACCATGCTTGAATACCACCTCACAAACCTTCAAACACTGTCAAACAGTTTATATTAACAGGAGAAAGACCATGCTTGAATACCACCTGTAAGGTGGTATTCAAGCATGGTCTCTCTCCTGTTAATA